TCGAGGTCATAGGGCAAACTGTTACCACTAAAACTGGAGAGGCGGGTGAACACAGAGAATCCCAGCTGAACAGAGCAGAGCCCTCTGCTGGAGGCAGGATCTGGGCAGCAAAGCTTTAACCGTAACTCAGGAATTTCTGGAGGCTCAGTGTAGATCAGTTTCAGGCTAAAAGCCCCTAGGGGCCCCACTTATAGGGGCCTGCACACGTTCCTGAGTTTTACCTCCAGTAGCCCCCATTCTCAGGGTGAAGATCATAGAAAACTGCTTCATCCCTCCAGCAGGGAGAGATGAAGAGCAACCATTTTGAGACACACCCAGCATAGCCTGTGTCCTTAGCAAGCCTTCCCTCGAGGGAACTCTTTCACCAGAGCCACTGCCTTGGCTTCTACCAGAGCATCACTGGCCTGGGGAAGGGAAACACCCTTACCTGGGCCCTGTAGCTTTCCACGGACAGGAAAGGAAATACCCAGCCCCAGCTCCCTCGAGCGTTCTCTCACCCATGGCACAAAAAGTCTGAGAAGCACTTGTGAAGATCAAATCCCAGGGTCACAGGCTCACGAAAAGCCTGAGAGATAATCACAGGAATTCAGAACACTCGTCCCTCCCCTAAACCTTCCCAACGCGTCAATATGGCTCCTGGATCAATAGGGGCTTCAGCGGAAAACACTTCCAGTCTCAGGTCTGACTCAAGAAGTAGTATAGAGGCAAACCCAAAGAGAAGAGGGGAGACAAAATACACAACGACAACCCTGGAGAAAACCAAGGACCTAGAGGCAATTAGAGCTTCTGACACCTGATCAAGCATCAAACAGTTAACATGGCTTAACTCCTACGACATCAGAACCTCACAGGAAAGGCCCATTTATCAAGTTGTTCAGACCCCATACATCACGGCCATCCTTCGACCAAAAAGTGCAAGGCACACGGAAAGGCCAAAGCCATAGTTTGAAGAGACAGAGCAGGCATCAGAAGCAGACTGGGATACGACGGAGATTTTGGAACTATTAGACTGGAAATCTAAAAGAGGTGTAGTGAATAGGCTAAGGGTTCCCATAGAAAAAGTGGACAACATGCACGCACTGTTGGCCAGTGTAAGCAGAGCGACAGGAATTCTAAGAAAGGATCTAAAGTAAATGGTAGAAACAAAAAATACTGTAACAGAAAGCGAGCATGCTCTTGATCAGCTGGTGAAAAAACTGGGCATGACAGAGTAAAGAATCAATGAGCTTAAAGAAATGTCAAAAGAAACATCTCAAACTAAAAAGAAGAGGAAAAGTACTGAATAATGTGGAAACAAATATCCAGGAATGCTGGGACGATTACAAAAGGTGTAACATCTGTGAAAAGAGAATACAAGAGGGAGGGAGGGAGGGAAGGGTAGATGGGAGAGAGGAGGG